AAAGGGAAGGAAGGAGAGAATTTCACCAGGTTATTTAAGAATTGAGTAAGACTAAAACCAGTGGTTTACTCAGCTTAAACTTTATTCTGTTATCAAATCAGCATCAGAGCTTTGGTGGTGCAAACTTACCTTTCATTGTTCAAAAGGAAGGAAATAACATCTTATTTTTCTAACAGAATAAACACATTTTCAGCCCTGCTCCCTGTGCTGCAGCCCACGTGCACTGTTAGAAAAGCAGCGACTGTGTTGGTTTTTCCTGTTTGTGTCACACAGAAGCTTTGATGTGTATTGCTCAGAAGTTGGTTGCTACAGCACCCATCCTTCATTCTCTTGTCATGCCCTCTCCTATCACAGTAAGACTCATGAGGTGAAGAAGCAGTTGGGTTTTTTGTTAAAGTTTTACCACAAAAGATTTAGTCTCATCCTTTACTGTATAATATATTCTACCCTTCTATAGGTGTGTATATATATATATCTTCTATTTTGTCTTGTATAATATATTCTAACCACAAGTTTGAAAATGTACCTCTTTCTGAAGAATTGCAGCAGAGCTTGGTGCAGTTCTAGAAAGTTTACAGATGTGCCACTGGGATTTGCTGAACTTTTGTGCTTAATAATTTAAATATTGCTATTTCTGAAGATTCTATAGACCTTAGCCTTGAGGCCCCTGGGATCATCTGATCTGACCTGCATATGAATCATAAGCAAGTAACTTGCATAAGTTATTCTTAAATTGAGCCCAAATACTCATGCTGGACTAAAGCCCAAAGATGTTTGGCTGAAGCAATCTTCTCAAAAAGGAAAACATCAAGATAAGTTGAGTGCATGTTCCTTGGGTGTGGAGCTTCACTGCCTAGTTGTCTTCCCTCTTTTATAATCCAAGGTCATAATTAAAATCTTTCTTTCTGCTTTCATTTTCCACTGTTTTTGTTACATTGTGTGCTAGATTGGAGAGAGCTTTCAGTAGTTACGAAGTTTTATGTGAAAAGCAGACACCTCATAGTTTTCCTTTTTCTTCAGCTATAGTATCAACACTCTAAATTGAAGGCATTTTCAGTGTCTGTTACTCTTGTAGCTCACCTCTACGCTCATCTAAACTTTACTCTTATTCTTTGCTCTTCAAAAAGTGCAGGCCGAGGCTGTGTTCAGGTTTTTGTTTTTTTTTTTTTTTTGTCTCAGTAATGCGTTTTAAAATCTTGCTTTGAGATTTAAAATCTTGCCTGGGCTTTAGCCCAAGTCTGAAGCCAAACTGTTTTACAGTTTGCTTCTTTTTATGGCCATATCTGAATGCAGCTGCTGTAGCTTTAGGAATTAAGTTTCTCATAGTGTACAGGGTGAATCTTGTTGGAGTCTTCTGGTGGTTGTCTTTAACTTCAGCACAGTTATGTACCAAATTAAGTTACATGCACAATCTACTTCTTTTTTTCTCAGAGTGATTTTATTTTGATGTGATGCATCAAAATGGCCATTATAAAAACTGTTAATATGGCTGCTGCTAAGCAAATAAGATAATGCAATCTTAAGTACATTTGCCTGCATTTGTATCTATTTTGCTCCAAATCCTCCAAAATTGTGTGAATTCTATTAGACACATGATCTCTTATTTGAAGTGTGTGTGAGTCTGACTTTGCCTTGGCTAACCAAAAATTAGGTTTCATTTAAATATGCAACTATCAGCCAATCTATAGATATAGATATGTGCCTGTGTACATGTATTTAAAGACACAAACCTTTGGTTCCTAATCTTTAGAAGACAAAAGCCCTGAAATTTTCATGGGGTACCACACTGTTGAGGTGTTTACAGGATGTGGATTTTATTTTGCATAACTTGACAGTCCTTTAGTAATGAAAAAAAAAACCAAAAAACAAAACAAAAAAATTCCCAAAACAAAACAACAAAAAACCCAAAACAACACAAAAAACCAACCAACCAACCAAAAAAAAAAACTAACCAAAAAAACCAAACTTAAAGAAAACCCAACCCAAAAAACCAAAAACCAAAACACTTGGAAAATATATAGAAAAACATTCCAATTCCATTTACCAGAAAAGAAAGCTACTGTGAAATATTTGGACTATCTACGAGACCATGGCTTTTTCTATTTTGGAGTGCTGGATAACCAGTGTGCCAGCAGTGGTGGTCTGGAGTGACGTGGTGCCACAAGTGGGATGCTTGGATTTGCCTAACCCTTTTTCCTGGAGGAGCTGGGAGGGGCCCAGTTGCAGGTGCACACCAAGCAGTGCTTGCTTCTGCCTTCAAGACCTGTGCTGTTCATCAGAGGGTGTGGGGAGCCAGCCCCTCTCAGCAGCATCTGTCCCCTTCTGCCACGTTGTGCTGGGTAAAACAGGCTTTGCCTTTGCCCATGTTCTCCTCTCTGAGTTTTGTGCAGGCAGTTTGAGAAGGACAGATGGAAGTGTTTGGTCGTTGCTGTTGCTGGGGAGGATGTGAGAGAAGGGATGTGGAGAGAGGAGGATGTGTGCTGCTCTGTAGGGTTCAGTGGTGGGAAGGAGCCACAGTTGCTCCCTGGCTGTGGACCATTGGCTCTGCCAAGACAATTAAAAATCCCTGGACTGTTCTCTGCAGCTGCTGAGATGGGGTTTTGCTGGCCTTCTTTCAGCTCCTGTCAGAAGAATAACAGTTTGTCTAAGAGACAGTGCCTGTTGGTAGTTCATGCTTTTTGCAGACAGACTTTTAAGTCCTCTGTTGCTTTAATGCTTCTGCAAAATAGGACCTTGTAACACAAGCGTCTTTGGGAGATGCAACTTGACTGTAAGATGTGGCAATTGGTTTTCCTTTCTTTTCAGCCCTGCAAACAAACTGTGAGCCTGTACCAGGTTGTTATTTTTACTCAAGTAGCTAATTCTCTAGGCTTGAAAGCAAGAAGCGCTTTTCTGGTTTTCTGTGTTTTGCAAGCTGGATTCAGTTTTGTGTTCCTGATCCTATTTTATTGACTGAATTTGCACTTCTGTACTTGGAAATGGTTGCAGAAAAAAATATCTATAGTGTTTTTAAAAAGAAAGGGCTCCTTTTTTTTTCTGGTGATGTATTGTGCTGATAAAAGATGAAAAGGTTGACAAAAGATAATATATTTTGCATTTTTAAGTGCTGATTACTCTTTATGTAAGGAAAAACAACTTGAATTCAGCTTAACAGAAAAACCATCCTGAAATGGAAAGCAGTCTATACCAGCATTGTCTATGTCAATGGGTGATTATTTTTTTCTTCTATATGTCTGAATAAGATGCATAGAGTAACATGAAAACATTCTAGTTCATAGTTCCTTGAAGTCAGACCTCCTAACATAAGATGACATTCTTAGGATCTTCTCCAAACTTGTCGGTGATTTTTGGGACAATCAAAATAGCTTTCCCTTGAAATCCCTAGATTCTCTTTCCTTTGTGGCATGGATGATAATGATAATAGTAATAAGAAGACCATTTGCAACTGAGAAGTTGCACTTCTGCATTTCTCAGTTCTTCCTTGTAGAAAGAAGATCAGTTATTTACCAGAAGTTGTGCCCAGGTTTCCAGCAGCATGTCAGGCTGCTCATCTCATGGGCTACAGAATGCAGGGAGGTGAAAAGGAAACCAAGAGAGCATGAAATGGAAAAATACAAATAGAAGGTGCATTTGTAAAGGGGTGTGTGGTGAGGAGAAAAATGCAGGGAAGTGGAAGACCTAGTAAATTATTAAATAAAAGGAAAAGGAGAGCAGGGAAAGGAAAAGCTACAGGGAAAGCTGTAGACAGAAGGACCTGACCGTGGGGCAAAATGACTTGGTTTAGTTTTCCTAAGACCTGGGGCTTAATTTCCAATTTTACTGAGCTTTCACAAGGATACGAAAGAGGAATGAGACAGTTGTGGAAATGCTGGGATAATGAAAGAAGTTAAACATTTCAGTGATCCTATGTAGTCTCGCATAAATGCCTGCTTAAATTGCAAGAGAATGTGCATTTGGAGATAGAGAGAATGTAAGAGCTAAGGTTGAGAAAGCCACACTGGGAGAGCAAGGAAATGCTAAAAAATCATGTACTGTTTTAGTAGGGTGTTTTCCAGTGGATACAGGCCTGTAAGCTTTAGCTAACTGGTAGTAGAGTGGAATTTGGGGACAAATAAATTCAATGGATTTTAACATTGACAAGGGAAATAATTCATAGAAGTTTGTATAAGGTATGATAGATTTGAATTTGTAACTGGTAAATATCTTTTAGGACTGGTTTGGGGTTTTTTTTTGGTTTTTTGAGATCTTTTTCATAGTTGTGGTTTTTTGTTTTTTATTTTTTTATTTTTTTATTTTTTTTAAGTTGTTACGACAAAGACAGTGTTAATCTATGGAAGTGCCATGTCTTTTTAATCTTGATGACATAAAACACTCTGGCCTAGTTTTTTTTGGTTTTTTGAGATATTTTTCATAGTTGTGGGTTTTTTTGTTTTTTTTTTTTTTTTTTTTAAGTTGTTATGACAAAGAGAGTTAATCTATGGAAGTGCCATGTCTTTTTAATCTTGATGACATAAAACACTCTGGCCTAGATTTTTCTTGTTTACATTCAGTTGCAATAACTACTTTTTTAAAAATCATGTCTAATCTTGGAAACCTCTCTATATGTAGAGGGTTTGTAGTACTTAATTCTTCAACAATTATGTATAACAGGCTGTGTTCTTGTACCAAGCTGTGGCTTTGGGGCATGGTGGGAAGAAAGGGATGGTAAATGGGAAATTCTTGACTTCTTGTGTACCAGCTTCTCAAGCTGCTTTATCTGTTTTAATCCAAAAGCAGCCCTTAGTACTGAAGACTAATCCCAAAGCTGTGTCGATGCAAATGATTTGTGTGCCAAAAAGAACCACTTGTGCAAAGAAGGATAAAAAAGTGAGCCTCAAGATGGATTCTGTTTTACAGTAGCTGCTTAAGTATGTAAACTTGGTGTTAGTAAAAAGAATGAGAAAGTCTGTGTGTGCCATTGAATAATCATAAATGGTTTTTGTGCTGTTCTTTCTTTCCAGATTTGAACATGGAATTCAACCCATCAGATCATCCACGGGCCAGTACGATATTTCTCAGTAAATCACAAACAGATGGTAGGTTACTGAATTTATTACAGTAGTTATCTCTAAACCCTTGGTTAGAATGCATGTGATAGTCCTTTAATATGTAATGGCCCCCTCTCCCCCAAAAAGAGGCATTTAGAGGCATCATGTTAGAGTTTTAAGTAGTCACACCTTCAGCTAATTGTCTTGTCAGATCAGTAGTACAAATATGGGTGAAGCTTAATATAATTATATTTTAAACATATTTTCTCTAAATCCAAATTTTTTGTGTAACTGTTTCTCTTTTTTTTAAAACTCTGAACATTAGGCTTCTGAAAAATGTGTAGAAAATATTTTTTTAGAAAATGCCAGTTTATATTAGCTAAGAAGACATTGCAGGGTTTCTCTGATATAGATTATACTGTAAATGAGTTCAGTACTAGATTTTCTTAACAAAATAATTCCCATCCTACCCAGACATTCTGTCTTCTTCTCCTCTTGTTATGGATTTTATATAATCATGTTGATCTGGAGTTTAGGCTGTTTTTTTTTTTTATACATAGACAAAATGATCTCTAAAATTAATATTGGTTAAACAAGCCTCCTGATAGAGTTAGTAGAATAGAAGCCATTTACTGTGGCTCTTTTGTTCCCTGTTGGACATGTATGATATGTTGGTTTAGAAATAAATGAATAATGGATACGAAACACATTATTTTCTAGCAGGACTTTCAAAGCAGTTCCTGCATTTTAATTCTGACTGTTCATCATGAATTCTTTGTCCTCCTTTCTGCTGCCTATAAATGCTGCTTTTGATTTACATAGTAAATTGCAGTGTCAAACACATCACTTGAAAAATAATGTAGTTTTCACTTGCTGTATATTTTTTGCTAGTTGTTGAGCATGACTAGAACAAAGAGGATATACATTTAGACCCTAATTGAAGAGTTGATTATGTGAGTACCTCCTTTGACCTTGAGATTGTCCTTCTGAATTCAGCCCTGGTTCTTTCAATGCCTCATTATTTGGGTTTGGATGCCATTTACCATACTAATCTGGTTTGGTAGTCTGGCAAATGAATATGGTAGTATTTCCATAGTTGTATTATGAGAATTGATGTCTGTTCTTAGTGAATTTGCTGTGTTTTGAAACTGTCTAATCCCATATGGATGCTACTTGTTTCTTGTTTCAGCTTGTTGAAAGAAAGGACAAAATAGGCCCAAGTTCAACAACTAAAATTTTGACCAGACTGGATGATTATTCTCACTTTTAATAAGAGCAGTTAATTTATTGCAATATGGAGTTAATTTTAAGCATTTTATAAAAATCTTTACACCTGTGCTAGAGTTGGTCTATGAAACTTTGTTCTAGTTTAAGTAACGTGAAGAACATTATTTTGAGTAAGAACAATGAATTTAGGGAAACGTTATAGAAGTGTTATCAATGGGAGTGTAAGATCTGTTCAGCTGTCCTTGATGCACTGGAAAAAATACAAAGGCTATTTTGTTTGTATAAAAATAAAAGGATTCTGCAAACATTTATCTACTGATGTGTTGCTAAGAACCATTGTGTTCTGGTACTAAGCATTTTGCTTGGCTGTACTTTGGGCCCCTTGTTAAACCAAGTGGGCTGTAGGAGTTACCACACTGTTCAAGGGTGTTGCCTAACCAAAATGCAATAAAGTGCTTGTTAAGAGGAAAATAGAGGGATTTTTTAGGGCATGTAGGGTTGTAATCTGGCAGGTTGCTGTGGAATCTAGGGGACCCCCAAGACTTATTCAGGTGATGTGGAAGAGGAGAGCTGAGTTAGCTGTGTTGAAAACAGCTGAGTTGGGCAAATAACTGCTCCATTACTTGAATAGTATTGGGCTAGTAAACCTTCCTGTTGACTGTAAGTGGAAATATTTCTATAGATAAGACCTGTGGACATTTAAAATGCACATTATACAATACACAGAGTCAAGTGGCATCAGAATTCAGGGTTTCGTCCAGGATCTGACTCTGGCTGTGAGCACACATCTCACAGTTTTACAGTGGGAAATGGCCAAGTCCATCACTAGGTGCTAGAGTGACTTGGAAATGTTACCTTCAGACAGTTCCATATCTGGCTTTCTAGTAGCCCTGTGCTCTTTGAGCCTCACTGGTACTCTTAAAGCATTCTCCTGGTGTAGGAGATGTGCTTGATCTGCTTGTGATCAACATGTGAGCCAAGAGCAGCAAATAGAATGAGATCAGGATGTGGCATCTTGGTTTATTACGTGGTCTCTAATTGTCTTTGTTCTGTGAAGCCTGGATGCCATGCTAAGCATGTAAATTGTCCTGCCCTCTTAGTCACTAGTCTGAATGAATCCTTAATTACCTGAGCATTCAATGAATCTGTAGAAAAGTTAAAGTCACAATAAGTATTAATTTGATTCCTGTCTAGATGAGATTTTCTAAATGTTTCCATCTCTTTTGGGGATTTTCTAGGAACTGAATGATATGTGTGGAATTCTTCCTCTTTAGGGAGCTGGTACAGAATATTACTTGTTATGTTTTTAGCTTCTGTGAGTGCTTTATGCAAGTTCTCCGTAATCTGCTGAGCTTGGCCAGTGAGCTGTGGGTGACTAGAAACCAATTATTTAGTGGGTTTAATTATTTAGCACTGTTTAGGGTGTGGGTGTGGTTAACCCAGGATTTCCAAACAGCACTTCAACAGTGGAACTGCCTTTTCTGCATGGTAGCAGGAAGGCAATGTTTGCTCCTCCAGGGTGCTGGTAATGGTGTTTCCTGTCAGTGGTTCCAGCTGTGCCCCTCTCCTAACTTAGACTGGGCTTTACACATTCAATGTACTGGCTAAATTTTGCAGTATCAGTGCAACAATGGGCTTCAGACAAAAAAGATTTTCAAGTTGTATTTATATAGGCAGATAGAAGTGGAGTAAGTTGCTTCTAGTCTTTAATATTAGCTGGGACCAGTCTTCTGAATTAAAACAAAAATAGATGAGTTACCAACAATGGTTGGTAATTCCAACTTCCAAAACACAAGATGTGTAATCCTCAAGAATTTTGGTTTTGATCCTGATATGATTAACATTAAAATAAGTCTATAGAAATGGCACAGTGAAAGTTTTTATTACAGCACAATGAAAAGTACATATATATAAATACATGTACACATAGGTGCCTCTGTGTGTATTTCCTCACTCCCTTTTAATTTCAGAGTACTTTCCTCCTATTGCAAAAGCTCAACAATAACAGTTGAAAGTGTCTGCAGCAATAGAAATAAGTCATCAACTGTAGAATGAGGAAAACTGAGTCTATTTGGCAGCATCTCAGGCTCCACTTGAAGATTTCCATTACAACTTTGAAGTTTTATATTGCTTTAAAAAAAGTAGAATTGTTCAAACTGACTCGAAATCTGTTTGGCTTCACATCATCAAAACCCCTTGCCTGAAACCGAAAATCCTGGAGTTGCAGTTAGGAGTTTATGCTGCAAAACACTGGTTAATTCTAACATGATGGTCTGGCCTGCTGCAGACCATACTGAGTTGTGTGAGCAGCAAAACATTTTTAAACTGACTGAAGGCAAGTCATGGAATGACTCTTTACAGTCATTTTGCCTTGTGCAATAATTGGCTTCCCCTTGTTTAAAATGGGGATTGTGATTACAGAAGAATGGTTGTGACAGAACGGGTTTCTGAGCTGCTCGACTCCCCACTGGCACATGTTCTGGGGAGAGGTGAGCCTTACTTTTGAGCCAGAAGCACTGAAAGAAGCAGCTGCCTTCCTGAAATGCCTCACCTGCGAGGCCAGGCAATCAGAATTTCTGTTATATGGGGTTAAGAAGGAATTGAGTTTTTTGGGAGGAAAGGCTATAGGGAAAGGAGGTCAGCAGGGTGCTTGCAAAGATGTGCACAAGAAGTGCTTGAGCAGGCAAAAGGGAGGGGTGGGTATGTGTTCTGGGGAGAGGTGAGCCTTACACTATGGCAGAGTGAGCCAGAAGCACAGAAAGAAGCAGCTGCCTTCCTGAAATGCCTCACCTGAGAGGCCAGGCTATCAGAATTTCTGTTATATGGGGTGTCGTAGGTTAAGAAGGAAGTGAGTTTTTTGGGAGGAAAGGCTATAGGGAAAGGAGGTCAGCAGGGTGCTTGCAAAGATGTGCACAAGTGCTTGAGCAGGCAAAAGGGAGGGGTGGGTATAAATATGTTAACATATTCTTCTGGAGACTGGAAATAGCAAATGGGATTGAGTTGTGAGTGACATTCTTGCTTTGGATAGTAGAGGATTGTACCTTCACAGGGAATTGAATGAGGGATACAAATACAGAAGAAAAAAACCTAAGGGGAATAAAGGTCATTAAAATGGAATTTGGAGTATATGTGCCAGCTGTCTCTGTAGGATTTGAAGAACTTTTAATGTGGTATAATTATTTGTGATTAAAAATGTTAAATACTTAACTGTGTTCAAAATTTCAGTTAGTATGTGTTAACTTTGAGTTAAGCACTACAGCAGGTTTGCACACAGCTTATCAGAATTGTTTACTGCCTGTACAGTGCAATATGTGATACTAGACAAATACTTCTTCTGTTCTTAGAAGTATCTGCCATTATTTTGTTGTTCCCCTGTAGATGTCTTATGTGTTTTGCTGGTGATAAATGCAGTGTGTGGAACTTAAGTGTAGTGCAGTGTTTTAGCAGGATTTCAAGCAGTTTAACAATTTACTAGATCTTCAGAATTTTTCTGCTGTTCCTGTTTAATTCTATTTCTTATACAATGTCCGTGATTGTGGATTTGAGCATATTCTAAGTGACATGGCTAACATCTGTCATGTGTGATTCTCCTTTCTGCTCCCTGGGAGGAAAATTATGTAAGGATTTTTCAAAGTTTTTCTTATTTTTTAATTTTCATTTTATGTCTGCATTAAACACAATTATTTCACAGTATTCACACATACAGCCTTGTTTATGTGAGATTGCTTGCTTATAATAAATCACAGATAGTGGCTTCTCATCCAACAGGGAATGGACAGGCTGTCCCACCATTGTGAACACTCTTATTTTGCTAAGTGCATTGGTTTGCATAGCTTTCAAATCATGATGCACCAAAGTGCATTTAATCACCTACAGCATGAAACCATTATTATTTTAATCCTGCAGTTTGATTTATGTGGTAGTTGCCTCCAGAGTTGTATCCTAAATGCTGTGGTATTTTCACTGGAACAGAGCTCCGCAGGCTCTCTATGGGGTGAGTTAATTGGGGAAGTGCTTTAAAAAATGAAATAGAGTATGTATAATCAGCTGTAATAAGCATTTTCCTGACAATTAAGACTTTATACATCTATCTCCCTTTTTGTTGCTATTTACTTTCTGACTGTTTTGGCTAATTGTGGCTTTGACTTGCAACCATTGCTTGTGGTGACTGGTTCATACTCACCAAGGAAATAGATTTTCATTCTTACATCCAACATGAGTAATAGTTTCAGGCTTGTGCCTGATCATTATAGAAGGCAGTGGTGTAATCCATACGGTTTCAAGGCTTCTCTGTGGGAGTTAGAGCACAGTAAAGTGTGATAAGAATTTGCTAACTCCATGGTGTAGCTGTTCAGGTGCTTTCATACCTGCAAAGTAGTGTAGGCCACTTTGCAGCAAGGTACCTTGCATGAAGGCACTGGTGGCTCAGAATACCCACACAGAGAGCTGGGGAAGAATGGCCAAGCCACTGCTGCCTTGGACTGCAGCTTACTGCATATTAGCTTGCCCATGTGGACCAGCACCTGGTGAAGTATCAAAATGGATGAGAATTTTAACCCATCACCACGCTAGTGGCCATAAATGCTTTTGTGCATACAGATATATGTTTCTTCTGTGTTTGCTATATAAATATACTTGGTTAGTGCAAAAGCGATTATAATGTTGCACATAGATAGTCTCCTGTTCTTTTTATTATAAATGGTGTATAAGAAGCTTAATCAGGAAAAATAGTCATGTAATATTTCTATCATATTTTGTGTTTTTGCAGTGAGAGAAAAACGCAAGAGTCTCTATATAAACCACGTAAGTGAAAATGCCTCGCTATGCAGCTTTCTCCTTGTTGTCTATATTATAAATGAGAGTTATCACACATGATTTCCACATTGCTGAGAGGGTGCTGATGCTTCACATGTTTGTTCTGCATCAGGATCCTGAAGTATAGGCCTTGACTGTTGAGTTAGTGGAACAAATCTGTTGGTTTGAAGACAGTATTATGTTCACGGCCAATGTGTGTAGGTAACTGGTATCTGGGAAAGAGAGCTTGCACACATTGGTATGGTTTTTAAAATTACTACAGAAGTTCTTGTAACTTTAGATTACATTTGTATGCAAGTTTGCATTGGCAGAGAACTACTGCATTGGATGTTTACACAGTTGTTCTGAAGTGTTGATGCAAGGTAAATGTGAATTGACGTGTGCTACATGCTGAGTATGAAGACAGGGGTTTGATATGCTTATGTACCCTGAGCATTTTTCAGTTCAGTTCTCTTCTGTTTGAATCAAATTCTCAGGGAAGCTGAGAGCAAATACCCTGTAGCCTGCTTTGGGTACAGGACCAGGTTCTTCACCTCAGTTAGCATTGTCTGTACTGCTGAAGCACCTGGAACCAGTGTGGTTCCAAGTATGTGAAGCCTTGTGCTGAAATATGTGGAGTCATGGCTCAGTAAAATTGAGAAGGGAAAGAACTAATTGTCCACCAAATGCTATTTGCCTTTAAGGTGAATGGGGAGAAGCTCTCAAGTTTTTCTCTATCTGGAAATATAAGCTGTCATTTTATTTTTATGGCACTACAGCTGCTGAAACAAACAGATGTGGTTTATACCCACTTCCTCTCTGTGCTGAGGTGGACACTTGTCTAGCTCCAGATAAATTGGATTGGGGTACAAATGCAGGTAGATTCAGCTGAATGCTAGAGTGGGGCTCCTAATTGTGATTCACTCCAGGGCTCACACCTGCAGAAAAGGAGGGAGTCATGAGAGCAGGAATGAGCTGCTGTGTGGGGTCAGAGGGCAGGACTGCTTCACTTGTTGATAGAACTGGTTGGTGTTGAGTATTTCTAAAACTACTGCATGGCTTTCAAAGCAAGCTGAGATTTTCAGTTTCCCAAGAGTTAAGATTCTGAGAAGTCATGGGATGCTGTGAGGTTTACAAAACCCTTAAAGTTGCCTTCACTGGGATGTTCTTGGTCCTCATCTATTCCCCTATAAAACATTCCCATTGTTTGTAGTGCATGTGAGGGCAGTTTGCAGAGCAGTTGTCTTGTTATAAAATTACTTGGAAAGCCAGTGTACTGGGTTCCTGTAAACTTTATAATGTGTACTCAGTACCAACCATTTCATATGTGAAAATTGTGTTGTGAGTTCTGATTCCTCCAGCAGATTAACAAAGCTGACTATTACAAATGCTGCTGGAAGCACCCTATTGCAAACCCTGGTATAAAGTGTTTTTAGGTTAGGCTGGACATACTGCAGAAAAGGGAAGGGTGGTCATATCACTGAAGAGTTGTGTTGTTGGGAGCTCAGTGTAGCATCATATGCAGTTGATGTGCTAAGTGCTCTACCTCTTCTTAATTTGTTTTAGGTTTTTTTTTCCCCCCCAAGTACCATTCAAAATATTGGCTGAGCTTGTGGTAGTATAAACTTCCCTCAGTGGTTTGCTGCTACCTTAAGTCTTTGTACTTATAAAGTACTTCTTCTGAATTACTAAGCTAAAAATAACCTTTATGAGGCTGAAGTCCTTGCTTTGTCTGTGTCTTTACAGGTCAGTTAAGCTTTTTAGGCAATACTCATAGATGAACTGTGTTTTCAAACATGTCCTCTAATATTTTAAGTTGTTCCTTCAGCACCCCTGTGAGTATTCATTCAGCACCTCCTGAATCTTCAGTGTGCTAAACCTGATGTACAATCTGGGTGATCATTTTTGAAGGGGTAGCTGTGACTTGTAACTGGAAACAGTGTTTACATTTTCAGACTGCAGGGAACCATCATGTATTTTCTAGACCACCTTGTTGGAAGGAATTGAAGGAATTATTTAGATTTAACAGTTGTATGTGGCAAATGATGGGTTTTACTCACATGGCACAATGGTTTATGATATACTCTATAGACTGATCAATTCTTTTGCAGTGTTTTTCAGTGTGTGCTAACAGGAGCTATAGCTACTCATCTGTTTCCCTGTTGATGTGAAGTGCTGGGTCCCCACATCTTCTCTGGAGGAAACATTCCAGAGGACATAAATTCTGTAGTGTTATTATTTTGTCTTTTTTTAAAAGAACTTCTCACCATAATGCAGCACTTTTTTCTTTTGTGGTTTTTCCATGGTGTCATATTTTTTGGTTTTGTTTTTCATGCTTATTCTCCTTTTGTGATAAATAACCAAGATGAGCAACAAAATATTTTTATCTTTTTGTGCAGTATCTGCATAACTGGTTATTTTGCAGGCAGAATTGAATTTCTCCCAAGTGATATGGGGGGCTGGTTAGAAAGAGAAGTGTCAAGAAAAACTGGGTGGGTTTTTTTTAACTGCTTGCCAAATTCTGTGTAGAAACAGATGAGAATGATGAACAAAATGTAGTTTTGAAATATTACTTATGAAAAAAAAATATTATTGACTCTACCTCATTTTAAAATGGACTTTCTTACCATGATCACACCACTGTTCTTTTCCTGTCTCGCTTGCTTTTGTTTGTAAGTTATTTTATTTGCCTGAATAGTTCCCTGTGATCCCCAAACACAAATGGTGGGCTCCTCCTGCTTTGATTTGTTACACTTTGTCAGGAGCTGACAGTTGCCATGTTTCAGGTTCACCTTGTCAGTAGGCGTGATGGAAGAAGCCAGCAGCTGCTCTTTTTTTTGGGGTGGGGAAAGAATGAAAGGAGGGAGTGACAGAATGCGATGGAGGAGTTGCCATCTCTCAGTCTTCCCACAGAGCCCAAGCAGACACATGACAGGTTGGGAGTGATGCTGGGAGTTCCCTACCTCCAATGTACCTGATCTGTTTGCTTTCTTCCAGCCTGTTTTAATTCCTAAGCAGTTGCAGCAGACTCTGCTTCTCTTTCCCGTTGCACTGGCAGTCACTGTTTTTTGTTATTTTATGTTTTTTTTTAATGGTGCCTCGGTGTGCACATGTCTTTTAATCAGCTTAGTCAAGCTGCTGAGAGGGATAAAGATGCAGACTGAGATAGGGGCATTTCCTTTCTCAGAGAAGAGAGATTGCATCAGTGCCTCTGCCTGTACAAGGAAAGCAAACAGGAAGACAGACATGTTTTGTGTTTTTAGAGGAGGTGGAGAAAGAGTGAATCTTTTATTGTTGCAGTAGGTAATTCTTTTTACTGTGTTTTTTGTAGAGGAAAGGAGTAGGGCGAGGGGAGAAAAAAGGTTGTTTTCTCGTTCAAGTTTTTCTAGAAATGTTCCCTTTCAGACAAGGAGAAAATGCTCTGTTAGCCCAAGTAATTACTCTCTTCTAGGCAAGATACACATAAAATGAATCTGTGTTTAGGAGCAGTAATACCCCTTAAAAAGGAGGGATACCCCTTAAAAAGAAGGGATATTTTTCACATATATTTCTGTATTTCTGAAGGAAGATAAAGGGTAGGAAAAGGAAAAGAAAATAACAGGAAGTAATGTCTCACTTTTGCATATTTTATATTCTGGAGACTCTCTGCCAGCCTTGTATCCACGGCATCCTTTCATCATTGTCTTTTCTAGAGATCTGGACATGGCTTCCACTGTCTGCTACCTGGCAACTGGATGTTAAATTCCAGCAAACTAATACTATTTCTATCATTCCAAGTAGAACAGTTAACATGTATAGAGCAGATTTTTTTTTTCCATCATGGGGAAAAGTTACTGGGCAACACCCATGTCACAACCCTGGTCTTTGTAAGTGACCCTGTGGTGATTCACATCACGGGGAGCTTCTCCCCAGACACAGTACTGGGGACTTGCAGAGAACAGCTGGGTCTTTTCCTGTACATGTTGAGGCAAGAACAATTTCTATGAGCCTTTTTCCATGCTTGGAATGATGTATGGCACTTACTCCTATGTAGCTCCCCAATTTTCTTGTCAGATTGAATAAAGAGGCTGTTCTGCTCCCCTGTTGTAAAGCTACTGGACATGTGACTGATAATCAAACACTCTCAACTAGTGATTAATGAGTAAATAAGATACATACTGAAATGGGAACATAGTCTGAAAAGTAGTTTAATCTGTGAAAGCAAAACATGAAATGTTGTTTTCAAGTAGACTGCCTGAGGCTGGCTGTTGTAAAGGCTTATAATTGCTGTCCAAATTCCTTAAGATATTTTAATTGACATTCCTTACTTGAAGAGAAGAACAAAATAAACTGAAAGATAGATTAGAGGCTTCTCAGGTGCTCTTGAAGTTCTCCTAGAGGTTGCTTAACGTGGCCTTTGTTCCTCTCCATTGCACAATCACAAAAAAAGCTGGTCTAGAGGGGACCTTTAAAGGCCACCTGGGCAATTTAGCAGATTCCCTACACTGATGCCAATTCCTAATAGATGCAGCTTAAGATTCTTTCCAGGCATCTAGTAAGTTAAAATTAACAGGTTTTCCTTAATGGCTTACCTAAATTTACTGTTTGAAATGTGTTTTTCTAAAGTCTTCTAGTTAGCTTCTTTTCCTGTCTTCTAGGGTGAAGAATTTTACCTCTCCTGTCAGCCTTAAGGCACAAGGTTATATGAAGTGATAAACTTTTTTACAGGGAGAAGCAAAAGCTAACTTTTGAGTTAGAATGAGAACATGCAGGACAGCTTTTTTACAAGGGGCTATGTAATACTTGCTTTGCTGGGAATGTAATAAAGTCCCTCTGGTGAAATTGCACAACAGTAGCAATTACACGCTTTGTAAATATAAGCCTTTGAGCTGATTTTAACAGTCAAAGAAATATTTAATCTTTCATGTTTGTAAGGCAGGGTGCTTTATCAGTGGTTAAATAGGGCCTGCATGTGCTGCAGAGCAGTTTATTGGTGGTTCTGATCCCCTCAGTAGCTTGCTGACATAATT